TAATATAATTCGTTTGGTGTTTCTGTTTTACATCAGAAAATTCACGTACATTTTCAATAATAATAGTAATAATTAAAATTTCAATATTTTCTTTATTAACTATAATTATATGAATATTTTTTTAATAATAATTATTTTATTGTAATAATCGGAGTAACTATAACAGTATGTATGTACTTTATTCGTAATAGTAGGCTAATTATTATTTCAGTTAATTATTAACATTTAGTTAAATGTTTCATATATTTCTTTTTTCTTTTATTAATAAATTGTCATTAAACTCATTGCGTTGACGAATGAATATAGTTACGTATGTGTGTATATATTAAGATGACCCGGATGATAATAATTAAATACATACATACATATAAGGTATTTAAAACAATTAACATACATATACATATTCTACGTGTACATATGTAACTCAAATATATGTATGTATGCATATAGCTACTGTATATAACGAATAAATGTATGCAATTTTGAATGCAGCTAGAAATACATATATATATATGCATTTATGAGCTTTGTATATTGTGTATCGATATACACACATAGATAGATAGAAAGCTACTTCACACACAATGAAAATCTATGCACTACACATACATAGACATATTTATAAATTTATATAGCAAATGTACATACATATATTTATATAAATAAACTGTCATATTGTATATTTATGTATGTAAACTTTTGCCCTTCTAGATTGAAGACATAAACATGCATTTGTATATTTTGAAGAGCTACACATTTAATATAACAAAAAGACGGTTTCCACTATGTATTTGTTGTTTTGTATTTCTCATTTCTTTTTTTTTTTTACTTTTTACCAATTTTTTGGACCTTTTTGGTGGCTAAGTCATTTAATATACATATTTTTCTACAATGCATTTATTATTGTTTTTTTTTTTTGTTTTTGATGAACAAAACAGTTACTTATTTTGCTTCGTATTTAAAAAAAAAAAAATATTTTGCCAAAGTAAACTAGTGCACAAACACGTACATATAGACATTGTATACTTGAATTACAAAGAGTTTTCTTTTACTTAATTTTTATAGGAAACTTATTTTTTATATAAAAACTAATGATATAGAATACTGATAAAACTTGCTTAATTCCAGGCTACGCATCACATAAAACATACAACAACAATAGCAACAAAAAATGTCACAAAATTGATAACTTCTCTGCACTCCACCGACTAACCGTCAACAACAATGTGTAGTACACTCACTTACTCGTGCATATACACATGTAAATATACAACTTATATGGTAAAAAAAATAAAATATTACAAAAAACAATAAAAATATTTAACAAAAACGAGTAGGCAAAGAACGAATTTGTTTAATTTCTTGCGCTTGCGGGTGAGTGCCTAAATAGGTAATGGGGTTTAAACAATAACAACAGGGTGACAACTACATACATATACACTAACAGCACTTATGTAAATAATCATTTTCACTCCTACATACATACATACATACATACATAAACAATACCCAGTCGGTAAAATTTGGAATAAATAGTCCTTCTCAGAGTCCCTATGTCGGATCTTTCGAAGCGATAGGCGTTCTTTGTTCGATTCGTTGCTATAGTCTCCAGGCCTATGATTCAGCTTCCTTTATAGGGGAAAAGCTTTGCATGAAATAAGAATGACACAGTTGAAAGTTTACACGCGCCCGCATTTTTACTGCGATTTTCTAGTTTATTTGAATTCCTTGGCCAAGGAAACACAACCTCTCGTCTGCCGTCGAATGCAGCGCTATTGGAAGATCTTACAGCACAGCTTGCTCAGAGAAAGTCTTATTCAAAATGCCCTTCTTGAAAGCATTTAGTTAAATCGCTTTATGGTATGTAAATATTACTGGCCAAACCCTATCTTAGCACAAACTAGTTTTTGCTATGCTACCCTAGTTGTACCTAGATCTAATATATCCGTCCAATGCGGAAACAAGTTGGACGTAATAATATTGTGGACTGCGTACCTGGAGTTGGACTGATGAGGGTTATTTTAAGCCTGCGCTTAAAAGGTGTTCTGCGCAAAAATACTGTGGCCCCTCATCTAGTTTAGCCTAGGCACAACTAGTTTGTTCTAAGATCGGCTTTGGCCGGTAACATATGCACACATACATATGTATGCATGTGCGTATGTACATAGTTGCGTGTGCTTAAGCTGATTACAGAATAAACTTAAACAAATCGATGTATTTACTTCAATAAATTACATAACCATTTATTCAACAACATTTATTTATTGCATTTCTATTACATGAGTTTGAAGTGAGAATTTTTGCTTTTGCGCAAACAAGCAGAGTATAAAAAACCAAGTGAAAAACCTGTTAGGCCGTTCGCAATGGGATTCTGAAAATCGCTACGCCAAATTCGAATCTCCTCTCGTACTACAACTATTTGCTTTCTTTTACATATGGTATTAGCGCCTAGTCAAAACATTTCAGTTAGAGAATTTCGGAAATGAAACTATAGCGCAGCGATTTTCACAATACCAATATTGGCCTAATTTAGTAGCTTAGAGATGTTTCAATATGTAGATCTAGTTACACATTCTAAGCTAGCCATTCGAATGGTACAATTGTTTAATACGCAAGTTTTTGACCCCTATTTCGAGTGTCGTCTGGTAGTAGATAAACGACTATTATTCGATTATCGCCTTTTGATGGTATTGTGAGCGTCGTTGTGTCGAGGAATCGACTTTCACAATATCATGGAAACGCGATAATTGAATAATATAGTCGTTTATCTACTTCTAGTCGACATTCGCAATAGGGGTATTTGTATGCTCGGAAACGCATGCTTCGAATAAGAAACATCAAATGTATCAAAAATGTGTTTTAGTAGCCGCTTTAATTGCATTTATCTCCGTCACGAAGCAGGGGAATCGAAAAAAAATGTTTAAGGTTCTCTGAGGAGCTGATAAGCGATGATAATTTTGATTTGTGGAGTTTATAGACATTTTTCAAAAGTTTAATTTACTTTTGTGACAACAAGGAAAGGCAAAGACCACAATTGAATTTCAGACGCCACAAAAAGTCAATATTAATTGAAATCTAAAAGCAAGGGGAATTCATATAAGGTGGTGTTGCTAGAACAGCTGGTTTAATTTGGCTCGGTGCACATATGTATGTATGTCAAAACTCCTTATGAGTGCGAAAGTGTCCTTGAGCGAAGAATAGCTGAAATTTAACATTTGTGTACAAAAAGCGAAAATAAAATACATGGTAGTCCTTGTTTCTGTACTACCCCTACCCCCTCATATGAATTCGCCGCGTGTAAAAGCAAAAAATTATTAAAAATCACACTTACGTAGTGTTTAGTATGGAATGTTTTCACTCTTACCAGAATTAAGAAATTAAGTAGGTCGAGGAGCTACATTTCGCTCATTCTGCAATTCACCTCCGAATAAAGTTCAACCCCATTCAATTTGATTTTAAAGTGACTTTGGTTGAAATTCACTCAGCAGTTAATTGAAGAACCTGACTGAATATAATGCTTCATTTCCGAAACCTATGTACATATTGAAAAGGCTTAAACGCAATAAGGTTTTTGGTTGCATACTTTGATTTCCTTTACAACATCTATTATTTCTCGCTGTGTCCTTATGTTTCAACGAATTGCAAGCGATCAGTTCTTTTGAAAGAATATATATACTAGGAAAAATCATATGGGAATGATGCAAATTCAATTCAATTGACTAGCAATAGTTGAAAGGAGATTTTAAATGAAATGAAAAGTTTACCTTCAATAATCTTATATTACGAAAATTAGCAAATCGTTTATATTCAATGGATAGCAATTATTTATATGAATAAGTATGATTACTTTATACTCTTCTTATGTACAAATTTATGTACTTAATACCATTTAAGATATTAATTTGAAAGTAATTATTTATAAGAAACATAAATAATACATAAAGTGCACCGGATTTAAAAGATGTGAAAAATTAAATTTAGTTCGTTTAAAATTTGTTCGCTTAAATTATATTAACCACATAAGCATTACAAGACAAACAGTCACATTTTGCTTTATTGCAATGAATGTTTAGCTGCTAATCTTATTTTCTTACATCTTCATTTCACTCTCAAACTACAAACCTACAGCTAGAGAGGTGCACTTTAAATTTACCAACAGACATACAGAAATGAGATCAATTAAAAATTGTGCGCAAATATTTACAAAGCAAATAAATAAGGATAGAAAAAAAAACATTATAGTTTAAAAACTAAAAACTCGCTTTCCATAATTTCCACTCGTACTGTCATCAGGTTACTTTAAGAATGGAAATTTAAAGCAATTACAATTCGTACTGTCATCAGGTATGTAACTTGAGAACGGAAATCGCTGCTTCGTGTAGGCGCATAAATGCTATATAGTTACATCCCAAGCTAATAAAAGTGAGGTAAAAAAGAACCAAGTGCAATGGGTCAACAGAAAAAACTTTAAATAAATTTTTAAAATGATAAGCAGGGTGTCGACAGTCAATTAAATATATAGAACGAGCGCTGCTAACTGAAAATTTGTGGCCAGCAAGTTGGATTTTTATAGAGCAATTTGTCAGATAAAAAACTTGCGATTTCAATTACCCTTCTTACAGGCACTCATTATCAATGCAAATTGATCTTTTCTTGACGGTTCACTTGGTTTAAAAATACGCTGCTTGTTTGCTTTTTTCAACATATTATATAGAGTGTTATTTAAAGTGCTATAGAATGTCTGTGCAGGATTAGGGTTTTTTTGTCTGAACAATAACAAAGACCACAGATAATAACTTATTCTCGTTTTACACTAATATATATATTCACTAATGTCTATAAAGTAAATCTCTTAAACGCTTAGTAATCTACAGAAAATTATTGTTTTTTTTTAATGTATGTTCCTCGTTTGTTGTCGTACATAAATATATCTAGTATTAATATTCATTGTCGGTTAGCGCAAAGTGGACTGGTTTATATGCCTATAATTCATTATTATACAAATTTATTAATGCAGAATTTAGTACAGTTATCATCAATACATACATATTTACAATACCTATTAGTTAGTATAGGTATCGTACATATTTTGTGTTATATACTTATATTTCTTAATGTGCTCGAAAAAATTGAGCAGTTCATTTCAATGCAAATTCTCAAAAGTAATTAGCATTTCAATCTTATCTTCCATATCGTACATAAAAAAAAAGTAATCAACTAACAACCATGAAATTAAAAGCCACGAAATTATCTGTCATAAAAAATTACGCATCTTAAAAGTACAAATAAATAATACAATTCAATATTTTCTTGACAATTCCTTACATTGTAATTCAGAAATAGCATCCGTAATTACATAGAACAGAAAGAGTGATGAAACGAAGTAAAATTAAAACTATATTCTTTAGCGTGAATAAAAAAAAACAATACAAAAGAAATTATAATGATCAGTTCGAAATTAATTGCCTTCCTTCTTAACAATTGCCCTTCTCTGCTTTTCATCGAAATGTGACGATGCCAGCGTTTAAATGTTTTCCAACCCCAGATTTAAGGTTCAGTAGTTATGGCATACTTAACATACATTGCACAAGAAACATAGACATGATTATACTTCACGCAATGCATAGATACCTTCTCAACAGCAATTAGCACACTTCGGCGCTCCTATTTCTCCTTCTCCCGCTGTCATCACTCAATCGAATGCCACTTTAAGGTAGAAATCAAAAATCAAAGGATTTATCAGAGCTCTTTTAACAGGCGTAAATGCCAATTATCAATGCATTTGGTAAACTCATGCAACTCAAAATTTCAGAACCGGTTACTAAAAGAAGCCGAAAATTCGAAATCATAAACGGAAGTTAAATCATATGAAGCTCTAAAAAAGAATATTATAATAAGGTAACTAACACTTTAGACGCTTTGAAAACGTTTACCAACTTTAAATGAAGTTACCGCGTAGCTTTTCTAAATGCATAGCATTAGCTTGAAGTATAAACATATCTGCTGTGGTATCGAACATTGATTAATTCTAGCGCGAAGGATTATAACAAAATGTAAGCAATTATAAATAAATCAAATTTAATCATACCATACAAAAGTTCATATTTGGAAAACAAAATTCACTCTTCGATTCTACGTTTCTTTTCACCTTGTTGCTTTTTGGCTTTAACTTCTCCTCAAACATTCACGTCTTATTCAGTGATCTAGCTACATAATTAATTTGATATGCATCTATTCGTGATAGCTGTTCAGGGTCACCTGTGACATTATACAAATCAATACCGGTTTCTGTAAATTATAAGATGTACAAAACAAAAACATTAAAGTTAACGGAGTTCACGCCAGAAATTATTTTCTCCTACCTAATATGCACTAATTTCGTTTGGCAAATGCTTGGAAAATTTGAAACAAAAAAGAATTTCAATATAACAAAATACCAACAAGTGTTATGATTTTATGAAGCACAACCCTCAATGTTTAGAGACTCGGTGCTTAGCTGCTAAACTTACTTGTATGTATGTATTACTAAACTTCAAGATTAACGTCATATTCATGAGCACATGTTTATACATATATATGTTTGTGTGTGGGTTTGTATTATTACACATCCATTTGCCGCATTTCTCTATAACTGTTATTTACTACGCTTGCTCAAGCTCCACTGCACTGCAAGCTATCAAAAAATTTTCCAACATGTACAATTTTTACGCAATCATTTTTTATGTCGGGATGTATGTACTGTTTGTTTGTCAACGCCATGCGTTTTTATTCCAACTTCATTTCATTTTTCTATACATCTAAACAAAGTTTTAGTTTTTGCATTTTTTTTCTTCTTTTTACCACGCCTATATAGAGTATTTTATCCGTTTTATGCTGCTGTATTCTACAACAATATGTGTATGTATATGTATATAAATGATTATTACAACTATATAGTAATAGGCATAATAACACTCATCAAATAGTGCGTTGGCATTTCAGCCACGAGAATTACTTTATAATAATGCATATATGTATGTATGTATATAGTTATATATATGAAGTATAATTATACGAAAAATACTGCGCCTTGAACATTTCACGCCAATCTGTGCTCCTGGACATGTCCCATCATCATCATCAACATCATCATCATCATCAATAGAAGACTTTTCGGCGGGCATTTTTGAATGAAATAATTTTTATATGCTTCCAATCTGGTTTAGTTGGCTTGAAATTCGTGCCAGCGGCTCTTTGGCGAGTGCTGCATAAGCATTAAGCTTTTTCATTGCTTTTCTTTTAACTTTATTTTCATGTTAAGCATTCAAAGAGTTTCACACTGAACTCTCATTGTCTTCGCGGCAGGAGGAAAACAAACAAAATACAGAAGCACGTTGCTAAACGCTTTAGCGCCTCATTTGAGCCTTTGCGAGCAACAAATGCTTTACAAATATGTGGCACATTCTTTGTCGGAAGGTGTGTATGATTTCTTTTTTTCTGTTTAGATGTTTGTGTATGCGTCCATTCGCTTAAATACCATCAAATCCATATACTTCAAGCACACGTATTTCGAAATCTCCAGAGGGACAAAGCGGCGGATTGTTGAATGTCTTGCAGCTGTCTGTTTTGCCAAAACGTATATTCTCATCCATCCAAATGGCTTGGCCCTCACTGTTGGAAAAAGAAAGGAGTGATTAAAAAAAAAAGGATAAAGATGTGCAAAGTATATCTGTGATCTTTTTAACAGAAAAGGTCCCCTCAAACAGCTAACGATTTTTAAGAAACAAAGTCAAAGCCGCACAACTAGGTAGTCCACAGATAGTATTTTTTGTTTTTTTTTCGTATTTGTAGAGGAATTTATTTACCCGCCACCAATGGTAATCATTTTTGAATCGGCTGCCATGAATAGCTCCGACGCATGCCCCAAATCCTTTTCATTTTCAATGCCAACCCATGGGTATTTGGCACGTTCTGGGTAGAGCGAGAAGAGGAAGGTTTCGCCGGTGCCAAAGTAGGCCTGTCGTTGGCCCTTGTCGTCTTTGACATTGCGTTCAAACCAACGCGATGAGCAGTAGGCGCCGAAGACCTGTAATTGGAGAGAGTGTGTTTGAGTGAAACTTCCATTTAATTTTGTTGCAGTTTTTTTTTTTTTTTGTCATTTGCTTACCTCATTATTGCACGTTTTGATCATCATTAACGTAGGCTCATGTTGCTCCACGCGCACATAGAAAGTAGTCAGCGAGCAGCCATGTTCCTCTGTGGTATAGAGCAGTACCGGCTGATACATTGTTATTCTGACGGGCAGCCATGACCAGAGTGTAAAGAGCTGAGAAGATGCAGGCGGAGAAATTATTAGTTTGGCGTATTTTTGGAGTTCGAGGTTTTTTACTATTTGTAAAGTAAAGCGTTTGAGTGTAAATTTAAACAAAAACAAAAGTAGTAGCCATACACGCAATTAAATAGAAACAAAACAAGTTGTTTAGTATTAATCATACATACTTACAAAATACAAGATTTCGAACACTCAATTAAATTATACGAAATTAAAAATTTCATAAACATTTTCTAAATATAATAAGGTGAATTTTTTATAGTAACTGATTAATAATTTTTTTATTCAATTGAAATCTTTCTTGAGCAATTAAACAGATTCATCGCAAACACAACACTTTAGAAAAGAAATTAACTATTTAGTATACAAAGAGTCATGCAACTCAGATCAGAAAGAAAAATATATGTATGTATACAATAAAATTCCTTTCTTTAAAAAAAAGAAAGTAAAACGATATACATAGTAATGGTTATCGGAAATCAAAAGAAATCGTACAACATTAATTACAAAATAGTATCGGCTGTAAAAACATCCAAGGGGTACTTAAGCAAAAACTTCAATAATTGCTAACATCCTAAATGAGAATACTAAAATGCATATTGCAAATTTAAAATGCAAATAGCAGGTACGCCTTTATGATTACACGTAAGTATGTATGTGCATTTGAAACTATTTTTATATGTATATGTATATGTTTTTTTATCTAATGTGCCTCGATGTTTTGTGTTGACTAGCGTTTTGAATCGGATTGACGCCATGACTATTATAATTTTTTAATAAGGTTTGTTGTTGATGTTTGTGTGATTTTATTGTAGTTTTTATTTGTATGGTTTGTAGTTCAATCTTGGAAGTACCGTACTATTTGTTTGTGTTTTTTGATGCGATAAAAAGTAAAGTTATGCCAAAAAGTGCATAAGTACGTATTTGCTTTGTGTCGCTTCCTAATTTGACCAAAATGGAAAGTTTGTTTCGCTTCATGGCAACAAATCTTACCTGTAACATTACAATTTGTACTGTTACTTTACTTGATTTCTAAAAAATACAATTATTCTCGCTCAGTAACAAAATAATCTACAAATTAGTGCTGGAACTATCCGTATATTCGAATATCCAGATATCCGTTCGGATATTCGCGCAAACGGATAGAACCCGAAGAGTACACAAATCTAGTTTATATTCGTTTACTTTGTTATCCCGATATATATTTCAAACAGTATTTGAACGGATTCGTAAAATTCTTCTCAAAGTTACTGAATCTATCGAGTTGAAAAATAGATTAGGGAAACACTTTACAGGATTGTTATTTTCTTGCTCATCTTTAGATTAGAATCTGGATAGTACTTTTTGGATATATTATTCAGGATAGTTTTCTTAATCGACTAGTATTTTCTTCCAGACCCGTTTGGTTTTTTGTTATAAAATTGTCAAATTGACCAGCTAATTTGAAAATATATATGTGCATACATACATACACATATATGTGCATATATATTTCAATTTGAATGCTGAGATTATCGAAAACATTCAAACAAAAAAAATCAAAGTAAAAATCACATTTTGGTGAGATGATGCGAACGAGCGGTGCAATAAAACACGGCGATGACTTCCACCAATCATTTAATTTAAATACATCGAATGTTTTATAAAGAAATACGCATTGATTCGATTTTTACTTAACAAAAGAAGTGAATCATTCAAACACTAAGCAAAATTGTGTTACATTGAGATTTTCCATTACATAAATGTGTTTTAAAAACGTCCACTTTATACCAACTTGAATAGCGGTTTTCTTTATTTTTGTTTATATAAATTTACAAAAATCACACTTACATCTTCGCCGGAGCAAACTAGACTCTTTAGATTGTGTATGGGATAAACGCCCATTGCGACTGCTCTGTGGCCGGGCGATTTTTCACCCTTTCGAACAGAAGGAAATGGGTTGCAGAATTTTTAAGGCAATGAAAAACAAAAACACAAAGGATTGGAAGTCGAATACAAAGGAAATCATAGGAAAAGTGATGGATATTTTTACAACGAAAGGTGTAGGCCGAATTTGGAAAACAGGAATTATTTTCGGAACAAACATAAAAAAAAGATAAATTTTTTTTGTTTGAAAACGAAATTATTTAATCGCATGTTGCCAAAATTTGGAAATAATTTGTTGGCAGTAGGGGAGAGCGAGAGAGAGAGAGAGAGATTTATTCACATTTTTTGTGGCAGCATTTCAAAAAGAGAAAAAGAAAGTACAATTAAATGTATTGGTACTGTTTCAATTTGTTTTAGTTAAGAAAAGTTTTACACAATTTTCAATAAATTTTGCACATCAAATTTCAGCCAATCAATAAACCAATAAATTTAATATAGTAAATCACAACAAAACTTCAGTCCTTTCCTTGTTGCCAAATAACAAATACAATGTTTTCATAAAACACTTGAGTTAAAAAAAAAATAATACAGTATTGAAACAATCTCGAAACGATTTAGCAATTGAGAACTAAAAACAATTGACATATCATGCCATTTTCGCCAGTTGAAATGTGGAGAAATGAGAGAAAACTAAAATCATGACTCTATTGCAGGATTTGTGTGGACAAAGAGCGCAAGAAAATGCAGACAAATAGATAAGTTAAGTGGTGAGGAGGCGATAGGAGGTAAGCAAAACGACAAAAAGTGTAGACATTTTTAGCAAAAGCTGGAAGAAATTAGCAAATAGCTAAATTTAAAGAAAAAAGTTTAGGGAAAGCATAAATGCGTCTGCATACACACGTACACACACATACCGAACAAGTAGGCGTGTACGCAGCATAGCAGCAGCCTGGAACCAACCAACAAAACATTAAAAAACAAAAAAAAAAACAAAGCTGCAACACCGACAAATCATCGCAAGCAAACAAGCCAGCAGAAGACACAACCAAAACGGCCACAAAACTCAAAGGCAAACATAAACAGAAAATTAAAAAAAGAACTGAAATTGCAATCCAACTCAAAAAAAAATATTAAATAAATATAGCATACAACAAGTAGTAGAACCAGCTTTGCATTTGCACTTTTAGCAGCACTTAAAAACTAAGATTACGTTTGTTTATTGTGTTCGTTCTTTTTTTACAAAATTCGAATCTGTATGTTTTGATAATAAAACTTATTTTGAGTGTCCCATACCAAATTGCGACAGGTCTCGGTGTACAATCGCTAAAATGTTTGAATGCACATTTCGGCATTTTGCGAGTTGCGAGTCGCGAGTCGCGTGAGAGAGAGAGTTACATATGAGAGAAAGTAAATGAAATGAAAAAACAAGATAAAAATCAAATTTTAATACGATACTTGTTATGGGTGTTGTTGTTGTCGTTGCTATTGTGTATCTATATATATATATGTAAATCAGTATTGCTCTTTCTTAATGTTTTTCTTAAACTACGTGTTGATTAAAACTAAAACTGAACAATACAAATCTATGTGCGCACAAGTAAATAGAAGGTTTTTGAGAAGAGCAAAAGCCGATATGGGGAGAATTACAGGAAAAGCTAGTTTAAGAGAGTGGGCTGGAATGCTTTTTGGTGTTGATTCGAAAATGAATTCGAAATGACCTGTACACAGATAAATTAGGGGAAACATACCTCACATAAGGGTTTTGAGTGATTACTGGTAGTGGCCGGAGTTTACTGGGCAGAGATTGCTTTCCGAAATTAGAAATCACTTTGGAAGAAATAAAAACGGGGGATTAGAACTGATGCTAGCGTCACAATTTTTTTGTCTAAAGTTATATATTACCACAGCAAATATTACCGATCTGTCCATTGCATTTGGTTCAAGGCCACTGGGAGTCCAAGAACGTAGTTAGCTCAGATAGGTAATTAATAGTGGCTGTTATTGTTGTTTTAGTAATATATAAAAGAGTTTTTGGGCAGTGTTTCTGAGGCTAGATTAAGCAGTTATATTTTTGCTCTAGCCTCGGATTTTAAGTATGGATTCGTGGCCCTTTTCTGTTTTCTTTTTTTTTAAATGCTACATTTTCTATAATGCTGGATTTCCACTAGGCATTAAATGGCAAACATGACATATGACAAAGTTGGGCATTAAAAAATAATCACGTTATTGCGCTAAAAAAAAATAGTCATTAAGTTCATTTCCACATGGCATTTTTTTTAAATGGCATACAGTTTTTGTGATTTCAGTGCCTAGTGGAAATTTGGCCGGTGGTAGCAGAGGATGACCAAGTGGAAAGACCAAGTGGAGAAGGACTTGACTTTACTTGGCATTTCCATCATCATTTTATTAGTCTTAGAAAACAAAAATTTATTTTGTAGAAATGTTTAAAAATTTTGCGATGAACTTTCCACTTATCCTACTTTACTACTACTTTATTTCTACCTGGAAATGTTTGACTAATGCGACTAATATTTGGAAACTCAAGCAGCCAATATCAACATTTAATTGAATTGCCATAAAAACAGTCAGCAAAATGTGGGAGTCTTATAAATCACGACCTTCCAATAACTCTACTATTCGGAAGCTGACGAGAAGTTTTTTCTTTAAGAAAGCACGCGTGTCGCGGTGTGTATGGAGCAAAGTTAAATTGGTATTACGTCGAGCACGGAAGGCCTATCGCTTTAAGAGATCAGGAGAAGGCCACTTATGGCCGACAGCGAAGCTTTGAATGAAAAAATTTACAAAATTAATTAAATGAGTACTATTCACTGGAATTGGTAGAGGTGTTGTTAAATTTTTCGCCATAAAAGTGCTATATCTAACCTTGTTTTTAAAGCAAATTTAGCGTCATTTTTTTTTTTTGTTATCATCTGTCATCCTAGCCAGATATAAATTAGGGTCGTTCCGGTTGGGCAGACATGACTGACGTGGGAACGTATAGTGGCTGAACATGAGGCATTACTGGGAATTTTCAAAAGGGAAATTTCAATTCCTCAAATGACAAGCCTCGCATGTTAAGGTTATGCCTGCTGCTGTCATCTTGCATCATCCAGCAGAGCCAATAGAACTACTCATGGCTTAAACCCGCAGCTTTGCGCCGTGAAATCATATCAAAAATTCTAAATCTACTGACTGGCCAGAATGTGAAATTTTTTCCACATTATTTTTTACCGTCTGGCCAGCCAATAAACAATTTTTTACTCTGGGAAAATAATACCCGCGTATACAATTCAGGATGGAAGGAACATATCAAAATGCATATTGCTACATCTCATTTAAGCCCATTGTGCGCACATATTTGACAAAGTTTGATTAATGACTAAACTTAAGCTTACTTAACATTTAATTTTCTAATTATTAACGCAGCTTAAAATTATACTAAGCTGAATATAAAAGCTTATGCTTGCTTATGAAAGAAAAACAATTCAAGTAGTTTTTCTAAATACCCAAATGAAAGAGGCGAACGTGTAAACAAACTAGAGGATATGCAAAAACAGCTACAATGGGTAGGAACAATTTAATAAGAGTAGCGAAAAGTGTACTAAAAGCACAGTCGAGATTGTTTTGATCGAAAAAAAAATAAATAAAAGAGAAATGGCAAATGACAAATGGAAATAAGGAAAGGGGCAAGAGTAATACTTTATGCAATTCCTCAGCATTGAGAAAAGCTTGTTAAAGGATTCGAAAGTTAATGGCTTGAAAATAATTGTTTTGGAAATGAAATATAAAGAAATTTTTAGTTGTTTCTGTTAAATTCAGATTCTTGGGATTTTGTTTTTTTTTTGCTCCTTAATAGCTCCTAAATTTTTATTTAGTATAGTTTTTGAATTTCTAAGTTTATTAGTTGTATTTTCACAACAAGCATGCGTTCGGCAACTCACCTCACGTATGGTCAATGTGTGCGACATCATTTGTATATTGACTTGTGATTGACTCGATGGCAAATTATCACTGGATCGCGACTTAACTAATTGCTTCGACCCGCTATTCAATACGGAACGGCTCTTTAGTATCATTTCAGTCTTCATAAATATTCTAGAGATATATGTGGAACTGCAATAGGAAGAAGTACAAAATTAGATTAAATAATTTCTTTTCATTCGAATGTTAGTTACACACACACTCACCTCAGTCCCCTAATACTAAATGCGGCATGCAATAATTTCGTTGGTGACACTGGTATCTTCTTGCAGAATTTGATCAACGCATTACCAATGTCATTTTTGATATTATCTGGACTCCATTCGTTGTTGGATTGACACTCTTTGTGGAAGAGATTGATTATGACGAGCGCAACACGATACAGCACCTTGATGCCCTCGTGGAAGTAGCAATCCATAATTCGTACGAGATGCTGAAATGGTAGACCAGCTAATATCCACCAGCACCAATCCATGAAGACGCGTTCCAGTTTAACGCCAGGGCAGATCCGTTGAAAATAGTTTACGGCACTTTTCTGTGTGGAGTAGATGAGAATAAATGAGTGAATAATCGTAGAATTTCGATACACTAGAAACGTATTAACAATCGAGAACAATCGTTTTATAATCAACGCACAAAAGTATGCAACGCGTTTGTAATAGTTTTGCCTAAGCAAGTGGCGCGAAATGTTAATCCAACATAGTAAGGATAAGCATAGCCTAATTTTAGTAGCCTAGATTTCTAATGTCGACTTCTAAGCATATCTTTAGAAAGAAGAGGATCACTAGTTTGTATGTTGCATATTTTTGGATCTTACTGCTATACTCGAACATATTTTCTTTTATAAGCGAATAAGTTTTTTTTTACACTTACGCTGTGCTTTTTGGCAATTTGCATCACCGTTTTCCAGGTGACTTCATGCTGTAGTTTGGTTTGCTTTATAAATACTTTATCCTTGCTGCCCACAAGTGCCGCTAAGCAATGATACGCTTCTTCCTCTGGAATGAAAAAATAATACCTGATAAATAATGTAGAAATGAAATAGATTAGCCTATTAGAAACTAAATAAAGAATAGGGGGATGGAGGGCGGGGCTCTAGTAGCAGCATTACTTAGTTATAACATTCTATTGGAGTAGGTATCGGATACTAAGCCCTGAATGAAGACTGTATGCCGCTGAGCACTTCGCATAATAGTTCCCATGGTGGAATAAAAACAAGGTGTTGTCAGTAGCGACGTGTTTGTTGTAATTTTGACAAGATCGGCATGCTTATTTTCAGTGCTGCCGATCTTTATTTTTATACTACTATTCGTTGGGAAATAGTATCTAAAATGTTCCATTTCCAGTAATTCGTTTTATCGCGATTTTTAAAGAACTTGGTGTTTTCAGAACGATATTAATATTTGAAATTGATGGATTTATATTCAACAATTTTTATTAAGCTTGAGGCCGTTTTTTAATGAAAAACTTACTGTGGAAAAGCAACAATAATTTGAAGAAAATTGTAGAAGTGATAGCTATTTCGAACTTAGCACAGTGCGTAGGCAGCTGGCTGAGTCAGTGGGATCGGCGGTTCAAATCCTACTGAAAGAAGTCTGATGAGGAAATGTGGTGATTTCCGAAATAGCTATCACTTTTCATGCCCTGGCTTATAAGCCTGTAATTAAACATTTTTCTACATTTAATTTGAAATAGTATGCACCAACGGATTAAAAGTAGTATATAATTAATACCTTTTCTAGTACTTTAAAATGCCTGACCGGAATAGACCTGCCGAAAAAGTGAGGTTAAGTAACTGACAACACCTTGTTATTATTCCACCGTGAATAGTTCCTAGAATGCGACAGCAGAAAATGAAGAACTAAAGTCGAGAACTTTTATGATTCACCGATACATATATACATATCGTCATTCGTTCTGAAATTAACTAGCCAGAAATTCGATTACTTCATAAAAAAGAGAATTATTTTGAAATATGAGTGTTTTTACACTCTAGAAAATAATTTGTGCAACCTCACATACGCGCTTTTGCATTTTGTTGATACGCGATTTTGTACTTTAAACGACGATATGTAAGTGCCCATTAACATTTTTTTTACCCAACAATTTTAAACGTCACGCGTGCACAGGATAAGCATTGCCTGACCGGCCGCATATATTAGCCAAAAAGACACATATCGTCGTTTAAAGTAGAAATTTTTGGGGTATGCAGTTTTGTAGCCCATTCAATAAAGTGCAAGTTAGAAGTCGCTAAAAATCGCCGTTGATTTTTTTAGAATTTTTTTTGTCGAGTGTGTTGTACATTTTCTTCCATATAATACATGATAAAAATTTTTTTACATGAAAAAAAAGAACGGTAACTTTTACCGACTTCTAACTTGCATTTAATGGGCTAAAAAACTGCATACCCGGAAATTTTCTAAATATTCTAACTAAAAAATTTTGAAATTTTGAGGAAAATTTTTTGAAGCTTGATTAATGTTTTTTTTTTTGCAATTTGTGCAAGCTTTGAAAATTGCATTACTGTTGTTTCTGTTATAGATTGAATTATATTTTAAATTAAAATTATCAAAAATAAATAAATAAACATAATTTGCAGACAATATCACATTGAATTTCATTGCATCTGTATGTACAGATCGCATCTATATGTGCAGATTTCCACACACACACACACCTATTGACACGTGAAAATTCCGACTTCAATATGACATTGAGCTGGCTAAAAATTTGCGACTGACCTATTTGAACGAGGCGTACGGAATATCAACAACTTTTTATTACTGTTTTTAAGCAGCTAAATTATCATACGTAAACACATACATGTACATATGTATGTATATTGCAAAATATTTGAATTTAAAAATATTTTTGGAATAAAGCCAAACAAAGATACGAAATGTGATCAACAAGAGGCTATTTATTTTTTACAAGAAAATTTTCCGATGCCAAAAAGCGAAATACCCAAGCGCGAAAAGGGAATGACAAAATCAAAGGAGATACAAAAACAAAGATGAAGAAAATACAAAGAAAACAGAAATATTCGATGAATAATAGGTATCAGCTTATGTACATACATAAATCAACAGCGGCACGAGCATTGGATATACATAATATTAATTTCCAATAGAAATCGAAAAAAAAACGAATGAAAAACTCATTGGGAAACACTAACACTGGTGATTTCATTTCTTCCAAAAAATGTTGCCCTTCCCCGATGCAAAATGTGCGACATTTTAAGAAACGAACACACAAATTGCTCGCCCTTTTCCTTTAGTTTAGAATCGAACACGAAAAGAGAAAGGGGCAATCAAAAGGCAAAACTTTTTGGTAGAAACGAAATCATCATAAGTATCTACATAGATCACCAGTTTTTTAAGAAGACATATATAGCAGTTTGTGTAAAAAAAAAATATCTGGAAATTTTATTGTATATGTGCATATGTGTTAGTATCTTGGAGCTTTGGGGTCCGGAGTAATGTCCAAAACCGAAAAAAAAAATAAAATCATTAGTGGCTAAACCTTATTTTGGGTTTTAGTGCATTTTTCATTACTATACTTGGACCTACCCAACCTATGACCACAATCGCCTTTGCTATTTATGTTCCATTGCGCTTGTTTATATTTATTTTTTATTAACATTAAAGTAAAAGGTTCACACCCGAAGCGGCTGACATTTTTGCGAGCGCGCCAGCACGCGTCGTGCGATCGCTGATGATCGATGAATTTTGTTGGGAGAACCGATGCAACAAGCACATAAATATACACAAATTTCATACATATACGCATGTATAAGTTATACATTATTTACTTAATACTTTTATGCATATTGACGTATGTATAACCGCTGTATTTAGTTTGGTAAGCGGTCGAAATTTTCGGCAAGCAAATATCGTGATCAATTAGCTGATTAGCGCTTAAATATTAATTTTTTGCATAATTCGCTAAAGTATTGCACTTTGTATTCGGAAGATGCGTTTTCCCATACGAAAACTTCACAACTTTACTTATAAGGCATAGTAGAATGTAAGCAGGACTTCTTAACGAATTTTTAGTGTTTCGGGGAGCGATGGAAATGGAAAACTTCTTCTATTTTGAGCTTACAAATTGAAAACGTTGCTCGAATTCTGAAAATTAACGAAAAAGTTGTTTGATAACAGTTATTAGATGAGAAATAATTTGCATTTCGCCGAAGAAGGATATTGATGAAGATGGATATGCAGATGGAGAAGAACTGTATATTATCAGTTTTTCATCTAATAACTGTATGGAGCAAACATTTTGCGATAAAACTTATAACTATTTGGTCCCTGATTTATATTTCATTCAATTGTTGCTGATAATCTCCAGGTGAGATCAACACTTCAGCCAACATAGCAAATCTAGAGCTTGTCCCAAAGAAGCCACCCACCTTGTCGTTTGTCAGTCATCATGGTTTAAAAGAACTAATTGTAGAAAATCGCTACGAGTTCACAACAATGCTCCGCAAGTGGCTAATCCCTATTCCGGAAGGCTTCTCGATTGTGAGACAGAGATCGAGCTTCAAGCATTCTTTGGAGCCTAATAACGCAGTTGTTCAGCTGATTTCACTTGGGCTTAAGATGACACAATGGTCAGTTAAGATCAGTATCGAGAGACGCAGCAGCTTATTTCATTTTAAGAACTCCTTAGGCCGCCTACGATTACCGGTGTCCTAGGGGTCGGTCTTAGCAGCCTTGCATTCCAAGGTTTTCGCTCAACGCTCGCTGAGTCTATTAGACGACACCCCACAGCCACAGCAACATACTAAATCTGGCCCGGTTACAACCACTCTAAATTGATCTGTCTTGCCAGTTCACCAGCTTAGAAGTTTTCTGAGGTATCGCTTTGGTCTGGAACCAAAATGGTGTTTCCTGGGATTGAGGGAAGTTGAAAATTTGGGATTTTAATGCTGACGCCTAACCGCAGCTGGCGGCCCAGTTTTCAACCGAGTTCGGGTTTCATTACATAAGTCCATACAGGGCGCCCATCAGAGAAATGTACTCCGTCTACATAAGTCTCAGTTCCGTTGTAAACTTACTGTTCACTTACTTCGGCCTCATAGATAATAAACAACAAATACAATGTATACTAACAATACATATGTGTAAGCAAGTATAAAATAGATATATGACAATTTATTTATAACATTTTCATTACTCTCACCTTTTCCTCTGTCAAGGGGGTGTCTCGTGGATCAACTATGGCGGCCCTTGTTTCTTCCCCTACAGATTCACACACCCACCTGAAGCCGTCTACGTACATACATATATATTCATGTATACATATATGTACATACATGTGCCTTGTGTTCTTATATCAATTCGCGCTTTGCAAACCGGCAAACAACAACAAAAAATTCCGATCAAATACAAGTAAATTTACACTAACAACAACATTTGCACCGGTGCCAGTGAGCTATAGGTCAAGAAAATTCATTTACAAGGTTGTCATGTCGTCGCTCGCTCGCCTATTACACTCATTTATATGTACAACATCAATAAAATAGTAACAATGACAAAAACAATAGCAAAAAGCCACAACCAGCGTCGTAGATGTACAACGACGCTTGAAGAGGCAAATTCATGCAGCTGTGACAGATCGCGTCGTAAGTCGTCAGCAAGAAAAAGGGGGATGCGGGCGGGCCTGTAATGGAGAGAAACCAGGAGGAGTGCAAATAAAAAGTCTAACCATAAGCTGGGCTCGTTGACTGTCAACCTTTTTAGATCACATTCAGTCATATGTACATATATACATGCACTGTGTACAGTGGCGAACAAAATAACTGTATAAAAGTCAGATGGCAAATCAGCTGTATGGGGAATCATCAGATTTGTACGCTACGCGTACTATTTGGTTTAACCCTCTTTTAATCATTACCTCGCTGAAAGAAATATGTAGATATTGGGCAACTCCACGCACCTACTTTTTTTTTAATATATGCACCGTTGATTTTTTAGAATTTTTGTCGAAGATATTG